GTTTAAGGGTTCCTTTTAAGGGTTTAGGGTTTAGGGTTTAGGGTTTAGGTTCCTTTTAAGGGTTCCTTATTTATTTGGTGTTGGGGTTTGGGGTTATAGGGTTTAGGGTTTAGGGTTTAGGTAGAGTTTAGGGTTGAGGGTTTCGATTCGCTCCCTGTAAACACGAGCTTGGTGGTAGGGTCCTGGTAAAGAAGGAATTGTTGAAGGATGTTAAGGATTTAGGGTGTCGGGCCGGCCCCGGTTAAATGAGGATTTCAGGAATTTTTAGGGTTTAGGGCATACCTTAAGAACCCAAAGCCCACTTTTTTGTAGGTTCTTATTATAAACCCTAATATGGGGATTTATAGGGACCCTACAAAAAAGTAGGTTTGGGATTCTTAAGGGGATAAAGAAGGATCAATGCACTTCCCGTTCAACGGGTTCTTTGGAAGGGTTAGCGTAAGGGTTGCATTGGGGCTCCTGTAAGGGTCCCTTGAAGGATTTTTTTAAAAGGGCTCTAGAAAGGGTTTATTCAGGTCCGCTCAGTGTTCTATACGGGGCTTAGGCCTTTTCCGGTTTATAGTCTAGCGTAGAAGAGGTACAGAGTTTTCCTGGTTGGAGGCTTAGGGTGACGGTGGCATGGGGCAGGGTCAAAGAAGGATTCCTTTTCCTTCTACGGTTCTACAAGGGTCGCTTTTCATGGTTTTCAACATTTCCTTGGGTTGCGCGCGTTTCGTTTCGGGGTCCTGGTTGAGTGGTTTCTGGTTTAGGGGTTAGGGCTTTCGGGTTCAGGGTTTAGGCTTTAGGATTACGGGTTTGGTTAGGTCGGGGGCTTGAAGGGGATTGCACACGCCTTCTCGGATTTCAAGAAGTCTAGAAGTTCCTCTTCCAGAGTGTAGAGGTGCGGGTTTGGGGTTGAGGGCTTTAGAGTTTAGGGCTCAAGTTTTAGGGTTTAGGGTTCAGGGTTTAGGGTTTGGGTTTAAGGGGCCGCGGGGCTACGGTTAGTTGAGGGTTTGAGGGTTTCGAATTTTTGGGGTGTAGTGAGTTCTGCCCCAGAAGCTGCTACCAACCGACAGATGAGTTGACACTGTTGGTGTTGCCGAGGGCTTAAGAGACGGGTCGGATTGCCTCCCCTAAGCCCGAGGTTCCTACATGAGCCTGCCGAGCCCACATGAAACCCCTTATCAGGACATCCTAAACTTGCCCTAAACCCTACGCCAAGCTTCGTTAAACAGCAAAAAAGCCATGGCTCCGGGGAATAAAACCCGTAACAGAAACCCCCTAATCTAAGGGCATTACTTCTTGGCTGTTTAGGATTTTGGCGGAAGTGATGGGGCTGGGTGCGTGTGTAGAAATTACATTCTTGTAACTGTGTCGTGATGGTGGTGGTAATAATCTTATCATCATTAAAAAAGTAGTAGTGGCAGCCGGGGTAGCCCTAAACCCTAAACCCTAAACCATTTAGTAGTAGCAGAAGCAGAAGCAGAAGCAGCAGTTGTTGCAGCCCCATCCTACATGTCGCAGGCCAATGCAGACGTCGACGAGCAGCTCCAAATTGCAAATCCCGCTGCTCGGCAACTGAATTGGGTTTAGGGTTTAGGGTTTAGGGTTTAGGGCGCTTTCAGTCTGAGATCTGGGCAGGTGTGTTCAAGATCACGAAGACGCATGGGTACTTCTGCACGCTGTCTAAGCCACCAAAAGCCCCAAGCGTTAAACCCTAAATCCATAACCCCAAGCCCTAAACCCACAACTCTAAACCCTTGCAGAACCCTGAGAACTGCTCCGAAAGCCCGCACAGCGGTATTTAAACTGTTGATGATATAAATCCTGCATTACCCATAATAGGGAATATATACCATAATTCTTCTGATTTAGGCACCTTAAGGTTATGCAGGGATTATATCGTCAGCGGTATAGTACCCTAAACCCTAAACCCTAAACCCGGAGCCGTTATGCACCCTGACCCCCTACACAAATCCCTCAACGCCTAACGTAGGGCAATGTAGGGGCCTTAGTAATTTTAGTAGTTCTAATAGGTTTTTTTTGGGCTCGTTTAGAATATATATATATATATATATATCTTACTAAGTAGGGTTTTTTGGGCTCGTTTAGAATATATATCTTAGCAAGGAGCCCTCAGGAATAGTATGAGGAGTTATTGAGGCTTCTATAGTATTGAACCGTTAAGGAACCCGTACAGGAGCACTCGGCAATCCACACAGATCTCTGATCCCCAAAACCCCAAACCCCAAACCCCAAAGCCCAAACCCTGAAACC